TATTATTCCCACACACTCGAGTTTGATGTCAGGGGAATACAGCTACTTAGACAAAGCCATACTCCTAGGGAATACAAAACTGATTGTCTGTGTAGATATACATATACACACAATATGCAAGTAGCAACACATATTAACGAAAAACTCTAAAGGGCTGTTCAGATCACGGAGCTTCCTTCACTGTCATCTTATAGATGAACAACCTGAAGCTCAGCTAGAAATGCAACATACTCGAAAGGCCATGTAACTACCTGGCTTCCAAATCAGGCTTCACCTTAGGCCCCACCCCTAGCCACCACTGGCTGTTGATGGCTGCTGGGGTGGTGGTGGGGGGTTGAAGTCAGTTCATTTCAGGCAGGGTATGGCCCCTGGTAACTTGCCCAGACTTCTTCTATGGATGGTACCATACACATATGCATATGGGTAGTACTAATTGGACCCAATGGGTTATTAAAATAAAAAAGATAACAAAAGTTGGAAAGGGGATGTGGGAGAGAAAGGAGTATGGGAGGAGTAGGGGGGAATGAGGGGTAGATAGAATCATAAGATTCTAGTCAAAATATACTGTATACATATATGAAATTATCAAAGAATAATTACATTAGGAAAACAAACCAGGCTTGAAGGAATGAGTACGTACCAAGTACCTAAACTATCCTGAGGACTGCAGAATACATAGGTATAATTCGTAATACAGTGGGCACATTCCAGGAAAGTCCTTACTCTACTTCCATGACATCATCATCACTTGTAAGATGAGAAAACTGAGGTTAAGGCAGCAGCAAAGGACTGGGCAGATAGCTTAGCTGGTGAAGTGCCTGATGCTGAAGAATGAGGATGTGAGTTTGATCTCTAGAACACATTAAAAAAGCTAGTATGGAGCACAGACTCATAATCTAAGCACTGGGGAAGCAAAGATAAGTAGATCCCTGGAGCTCACTGGCCAGCCAGCCTAGCCAATTCGGTGAACTCTAGGTCCCAGTGAGAGACCCTGTTTCCCCATCCCCCCTCCCCGTCCCTGACCAAAAAAAAAAGTAAAAGCAAAACCAAGGTGGAGGGCTCTGGAGGAACAACACCAGAGTTTGACCTCTGGCCTCCACAAGCACATACACACATATGCATATGCTCATACACACATCTGCAGAGAGAGAGAGAGACAGAGAGAGATGGAGACACACACACATACATACACACACACACACACACAGAGAGAGAGAGAGAGAGAGAGAGAGAGAGAGAGAGAGAGAGAGAGAGAGAGAAACAGTACAGCCAATAAGGGGCATGAATGGAGCTAGATATCAATGTTGCTAGACTTTCTTAAGTGCATCAGCATTTCTGTGTGAGTGCGCACGCCTCATATCACTGCTAACATTTCACTAATCCACATGCCAGCTGTATTTTAGTTGTCTTGACATTTTCTTTAGGGTGACTAATATAAATACTTAAAAAAGAGACTTAAAAAAAATCACCATTTAAGCAAAACATTCTAACAAGAGCTTTAACAAACTACTAAATTCTAGCTTAGACCCTGGTGCTAATAAAAACTAGTAACCTCTGATGGAGACCTCAGGATTAAAATAGAACCAAGAGAGGGGAAATCTCTCACTATTTGAGCCAGCTATTAGATGACACATTCAATTGTCACTTTGTCATCTTCATGACGAAGACGTGAGTACTGTCCTTGTCCCTGTCCTCACTTAGAGTATCATGACAGTACATAAAGAGCCTGAACAGATTCTGCAAGTTGTGATTTTGGAACTCAGGGGATGGAGAGATAGCTTAGCAGTTAAGAGCACTGGCTGCTCTTGCAGAGGACCAGGGTTCAATTTTCAGCACCCAAATGACAGCTACCAACCATCTGTTAACTCCAGTTCCAGGGGATCCGACGCCCTCTTCTGATCGCCATCAGGACTACATGACACGGGTACACCAACCTACATGCAGGCAATACACTCATACACATAAAAGAAAATAAAATATTGAAAAACAACCCCAGACTTTGAGTTATGCCATGTTTCTGATGTAGCATATCTGGGTGACACTGTGCATTCCTAAGAGGTTTTTGAGTGGTTCTGACACAGTGGGCCCAGGAACCGTATTTGGAGAAACAATGATCAAAAGTCCACTTGGGAGGAAGAAGCTGAGAACAAACAGCAACATGTATGTGAAAATTCTACCATCAATCTTGCTAGCAAGGCAGGGATCTGGAGTATCACAGTACTGAAGAGGCAAATAAATAATGAACTGTTTTTACATTTCTGTGTTGTTTCTATGGCCTAGTGCGTTCAAATGAATACACCCACCTGAGCAGCCTGCAAATGCTTTTGCTAAGAGAGCAAAGTACTTTCCCAAAAATAGCACGGGATATCTGCAGGTTTTTGACTATCACAATACTTTTTGCATCACCACAGCAGGCTATGACCATTTAAATATGCAAAGCAGAAAACGAAGATGTTCTCTCCTCCAGGTATTAAGATATTCTATAACATTTAAAAATATCATGACAGTAAGGCCGGGTGTGGTGGCACATGCCTTTAATCCCAGCACTCAGGAGGCAGAGGCAGGCGGATCTCTGTGAGTTCAAAGCAAGCCTGGTCTACATAGTGAGTTCTAGGAAAGCTGGGGCTATAAAGAGACCCTGTCTCAAAAAGACCCCCCCAAAAATATCATGACAGATAATGTCCGTTCTCATTTGATTCCATTCATTGCACTATAGTAGGTGATTTCTTTTCTCTCTGAAAATTTGAGGAGGCTATTTCCCTAAGGTCAATTCCTAAAAAGTAGAACTAGGATTCAATCCAAACTTCATTCTCATGTTTCTGTTACTAAGTCACACTACTACTATGGTTATTACTTGTTTATTCACACTCCCATTTCTTCCATTTTTGATTTTTAAACGACAGAGCCTCACTACAGATTTCAGACTGGTCTGGGTCTGGAATTCACTATGAAGTCCAGACTGGCCTCAAACTATGATCCCCCACCTCAGTTTCCTGAGTGTTGGGATTATAGGTGTATGCCATAATACCGAGCTCTACTCAATCTCTTAATAAATATGTATAATCTAGAAAAATAGAAAAATGAGGAATTGCATACCTTTAATCCCAGTACATGGGAGGCAGAGGCAAGCAGATCTTTGTGAGATTGAGGCCAGTCTGGTCTACATATCGAGTTCCTGGCCAGCTGGGGTTACGGGGAGACCCTGTCTCAAAAAATCAAACCAAACCAAACCAAAATCAAAACAAAAAGAATCAAACAAAAATAAACAACAGAAAAAAAGAGGGATAAATGGTATCAAAAGCATTAGCTCTTTAGAAGCAATTTTCTAAAACAAAATCATTGAAAAAGCTGAAAGAGGAGAAATTAGTGGTAACTGGTAGTGGCAGAACGCCTTAAGTTCACACCAGAATTAAGAACATTGGGCTAAGTTACTTTCAGGAGAGTTGGTAGGTAATAGTCTCAGAAAATTCAACCTGTATGAGTTACTCCAGTCAAATGGGCACTTTTAGTCCCTTTTGATGTGACAGGAGCTGTGGAGAATGACAAAACAACAACGACAACAACAACTACGACGACAAAACCCAAAATGACTCAGGGGTTACAAGTCTTGGTTTCTGGTGTTTTGTAACTTGGAACTTGTTTCTCTCCATCTGAGTTTCACTATGGTTAAAGCAGGCAGCTGAATTAAGCTCCCTTCCCTTCCTGCAAGCTTGATTCTTTTGAAAATGGAAGCCTCCTTCAGACGGATCTATTAGAGCCAAAAAAGATAACGCCCTCCTTAGCATAAGGGGGATATGGTTTGATTGTGAACTCAGCCTGTGGTTCTCAACTTTCAACGAAGGGCCTATTATCCACCCATATGTGTAGTTCTTTGCTTCCTTCTTCAGGAAATACACAGGGAAAACCCAAGAGATCCTGAAAGCTGCAAGGTAGAAAGTCAGTTTCCATCTACAGAGAGCTGGGGAAATAAAATATTTGATACAGTTTAAAAAAGTCATTAATGGTGATGAAATGACAAGCTTGGTAGGTGTTATTAAGGGTAATTATAGCAACTTGAGGATGAAAACAACATCTGTGGTTTGCCTGATTAATAGCTTAATGTAACAGTGCATGTGTTAATGGAATAACACTCCTCACACTCAGACTATATTTGCAAGATCTGGAAATGCAGAGCAGAGGCAGGAGAAAGAAACAGGTGCCAGATTGGCTATTGGTGATCAACAGCCTGTGGTAGGAGCTGCACCTTAAGTACAGAAGAACGCTGAATTCTGCTAGGTACAGGCATTTCTGTAGATGCTCTCGAGAGCTGGCTTCCTAATGATTTCTTTCAATATTTATCTTTCACCCTGTGGCTGGAGATGGAGTCACCCCAGCCTAAAGGCATGCCAAGGTAGGACTGTGCTGAAGGTGTCCGTTGTAGACCTACCTATGCATAGGAAGCTTCTTCTAGTGAGGACAGCTCATGTTGTGAAGCCAACAGATCCTTCTATAAACAACAGTGTTCCCCTTTGAACTCAAAGTAAAGCCCGTTTCCAGCTATCATTTGGAAACCCTGCAGGGCGCCAGCTTCCAAGATTATCCAGAGGAAATTGGGAAACTGAAGCTGTGTAGTAGTGATCTCATTCTTTTCCTCAGGGCTGTGGTTCCTTTCTCTTAGAGAACAAGGCTCTAACTCCATCTGCTTCCCCAGGCTGCTCTGGATGAATGCAGGATATATTATTTATCATAAAACATGTTCAGGCACATCCAAGCTGCAAGCTCTGTCGCTCAGGGAAAGTCGCAGCTGCCTTCAGTTATCATAATGAAATCAATTGAGGGAAAATATGGCATTCTATTAGGGAAGGACTATGGATATTGCACCCAGCAAGTGAAATGAAATTTCAAGCACAGTATAAAGAAAAGTAGTTATAACCTGGGCCCGATTCAGAATTTGGAATCGATGATGCTAAGAGGCAATTATCCTGCCACTGTGCTGTCAAAGCTAGGATGCTTTTACTTACCCCAGCAAAGCCGATGTCCCTTCTGAGCAGGCTCCATTAGAGGCTACAGAAACAGTACTTGAGAGGGGCATTGTCGTGTCTGTCGCACAGCATGGCTCAAGTTTTTCTCTTTTTATAGCATCTTGCATTTCTGATCATGTCAAGGCAAGGCCTTAAGCGAACAGCAGCTCAGAAACTCCGGGAAAAGACACAGGAAAGAGATAGCTGTGACTCATGAAACAAAAGGCAACAATCAGCTGCCTCACTAGGCCCAGGAGTGAAGAATAGCAAGCCTGTGAGGGTGGGGCCCAGGCCAGAACAGTGAAGGCTGTGTTTTCTGCTCGGCTCCGCATCAACAGAGTAGCATCACTGTTAGATGTGACTCTCAGTTTAATTTCTTCTATCAATGAGCCAGCCATGTAGAAATTCACAGGGGGTTTTATTCTCTAAACATGCTAAAAATGACTTTGCTCATTTATGCCTTGAAATGCACGTAATTAAATGTGAGACAATTATAAGCTTATTGCTCTCATTTGAGGGACTAGAATGGAATTCAGTGGCTGGGTTTCAGGGTCCTTAAGAAAGAAAAGACTAGACTCTTGGCAGTGACTTGTGTATGTGAGCGGGTGATGAATTTGCCCTCTAAGCTTCAGAACTCTCATTTGGCAGCAGCCATAGTTCTTACTGATTACTGTTTGATTACACAAAATACCAAGTATGGGACCAATATATCATAGTTATAGACGGTGAATACTTCAAACATATAAAAAAATAGAATTATTTATGGGCTTATCGATAGCCTCAATTCATGTCTAATCCTTTTTACTGAGTTGCTTCTGACTCAACTAATTGGGGTAAATGTCAGAAGCTGGTTGTGATATTGATGGACACCAACTGATGGTTTCATAAATACACCAGGTAGAACAATTAACTCTATCTTAAGGGTAGGAAAATTGGAACATTATCAACTTTGGGAATGAAAACAGACAGACACAGCATCCAGCTTCATGAACATCTTTCAGATCTTGGTTAATGATGTGCTGCTCAGCTTCTGTTGTCAACTTGACACAACCTGGCATCACCTGAGAAGAGGGGACCTCAACTGAGGAATTTCCCAAATAAGATTGCTTTGTGGCCATGTCTGTGAGAGGTGGTCTTGATTGACGATTGATGTTGGAGGGCCCAGCCCACTGTGGATGGATCTGGGCTGTGTAAGAAAGCTAACTGAGCATAAGTCAGTGAGCAAAACAGAGAGCAAGCCTTTAAGCAGCCTTCCTGGCCTCTGCCATCTTGTTCCTGCCCTGGCTTCCCTCAGTGATGGATTGTGACTTGGAAGTGTAAACTGAAATCAGCTCTTTTCTCCCATAAGTTGCATTTGATCATGATGTTTATCACAGCAACAGAAAGAAAACTAGAACAGCTATGTTAGTGGTTGTGAAATATAAATAGACAGACAATGGATCTTTTCAGAAAACAAAGATGACAACATAGGAAATATTTTCAAAGGGTAAAAGTTTAAGGTCTAAAATACAAATAAAATATATCAAAATAGCTATACAAACTCATAAGTTGCATTTGATCATGATGTTTATCACAGCAACAGAAAGAAAACTAGAACAGCTATGTTAGTGGTTGTGAAATATAAATAGACAGACAATGGATCTTTTCAGAAAACAAAGATGACAACATAGGAAATATTTTCAAAGGGTAAAAGTTTAAGGTCTAAAATACAAATAAAATATATCAAAATAGCTATACAATACAAACTAGAAAGTTTTAGAAGCATGAAATTCACCTAACACTTCAGACAGTATGGAATTTTTAAACAGCTTGGCATTTTACAGATCTCCAGTCATGAATATGAGTGCTTTTAAGTTCCTGTTTCTCTCCCTCGCCACTGCTCCCACCAACCTCACACCATCTTCTCTCAGGTTCTCTGGTTACCAGGCACAATGTGACTTGGAATCACAGATTTTGGTTAAGTTGTTAAAAATTCATACCAAAAGTTACTCTGAGGTCATTTAACGTCCTGTGGCTACTTCTACCATAGGGGAGAGGCTGAAACTCAGAGAGGTAAGTCTACTTAAGGCCACACAGGAAGGTGTTGGCAAATACAAAAGGTCACATTTCATTATTCCAGAACTGTGCTCTTTCACTTTACCACCTCATAGAGCACACATCATTTTGGGATAAGGACCCCTGGAGAATCTTCAGGCTACCATGATGGTCGGGGGGTAGAGCCCTCCAAATACATGTCCTCTTTTCAAACTATCTGGAAATGATAAATACCAACAGACATGTTGGAAATTATTTGTTTCATGATATTGGAGCTGAAGTTGGAGCTTAACGCTATGTGGTTAACAAGAACCTTAATAACAAATAGATGAGAAATGGTACATCCAATTTGTATTGGAGAGAGCATCTTTCTTTTGTCTGGCTGGTGGAATTCACTAAGAAATCATGTTCAAAGATCGCATTTCACAGGCTTTATTTATATCTCCTGCTTCCAGCCAGCAACTTTTCTACACATAAGCAAATTTAACATTTTGCATGTATTTGCATTTGTCAGTTACTACATCATGCACACATTCCTGATTGTTAGTATTATAAGCCTTTTTATTTTGGGGGCCAAAACTTGCTTATTAAAGGAACAATGATTGATAGAAGCCTTTTCCCTTTTCTCTTCCCACCACCTCCATGGACCTATGATGGACTTAATAAATTTAAGACAAATGATTTTCTATACACTGTGCATGTTTTATTTTTTTTATCTTTTTATACTTATCACATTTTTTTCTTTTTACTTTTTAAGCCAGGGTCTCCCTGAGCCCCATCTGACCTGGAACGCATTATGTAGACCAGGTTGGCCTTGAACTCACAGAGATCCTCCTGCCTCTGCCTCCCCTGAGTGCTGGGATTAAAAGTGTACCAATGATAGTACTCATTCCAACCATCATCGAACACTTGGCATCAGGCAGTGGCAAGGATTACACACACTTATTTAATTCTAGGAATATTAAGAGACTGATATTCTCATTTTGTAGGAGAGAAAAATAGAAGCAAAGGAATGAAATGATATACAAATAATTAGGTATGTGTTTTCACCTGGCTAAGAAGCACAATTTAAGCATTCACCTTTGAAGGGCATCTGATCCATTTGCAGTTTTATCTGATGTAAAGTTGCCTGTGAATAACCTGAAAGCCATAGAAATGTATACTTTGAACCTAGGAACTAAACTTGAAATGGTTTATCTGGGTAAACAAGTATGAACACGACTAATAAACAGGGATTGGAAGAAGTAACAAACAAATTCCAAAAACATGAAGAGGAGACCATAACTTGAGAGACTAGACACTGAAACTAGTTCTTCGGGACCGAAAGGGTGATAGCAGGCAGTTGCCCAGGACATCAAAATCTCTGGCTGGAACACAAGTGAGTGTTATCAGAACACCTAATTAGGAAGCATACACTGTAAGTGGAAGAGAGAGGAGAGACCTCCAAGGTAAGGTCTTCCAGGTCAGTCACTCTCAGCAAGAGATTAGTTTGCCTCGTAGAGGACATGTGGAAATTTATTTGCAAAATTTTTGCATTTTCATTACTGACTTGGAGGTGGTACTAGCTTCTAGTGCATGAATGAAGGACAGGGATGCCCCAAACAACCTCAGTTTACAAGTCAGCTTCCACCACAAAGCATGATTTGGTCCAAAATGTTAATAGAGCCAACATTGAGATTCCTGCTCAAAATGTCTCCTAAACTCCTAAGGTGATGATGAGGACATTGCAGAACTGATCCCCTCATAAACGACATGAGTGTGTGGTCCTTTCCAAAACTGGGTGTGGCTCTTTAGCCAGATAGATGCTAAACAAACTGAAAAATGCAATTTGAAGGAAGTGAAGTCTCTATTATAGGCTTATACCAATTAATTTGATTTGTGAAATTATTTTTGCAAGTGAGGAGAAAATAACAAAGAAAAATCTTTATACTACGCAGCGTTGATGACCACAGAGAGGGTCAACCCAAACCAACAGCAACTGCAGGCTACCTTAGTGCACAACAAACATCTTATTGTTTCCATTTCATAATTTATGCAATATCCAATGTTCCTGTACCAATTGTCACACAGTGTTATGACCCATAGACATATTTTGCTTAATCTACACAGGCTTAAATTTTAGATTAGTTGAGAGCATTGACACATTTAGAGATTTCTCACAATAATATACATTTTCTTTTTTATGGAACAAACCAAAAATGACAGTAAAGGGAACCAAATCTCATAAATTAGAGCTAGTCATTGCTGAATAGCAATCATTTTGGACAGGAGCCATATTTCCCCATCCCTCTGGCCTGCTTCAGCAGGCTACATTACCTGCCTAATATTTTGTAATTTGTCTTAAAATATTTTGTTTATATTCTTTTACTCACTAGGATGATATGATATAATGAAGGTGTCTTTCAACATATGCTATGCAATTTTGCCTAGGTTAATTTTCATCAAATCAAGTTTATGGCATGTTTTGGCCATGCTTGTTTTACTCACAATTTTGGTCCTCACACGACTTTCCTTTCTCCAAAATTTTCCAAATTTATAGACAAAAGGTGACTGAGTATTAAAGAAGAAATTGATGTTCCTATTTCACCCACTGGGGCAGAGAGGCACATCAATTCTCTTCCTACCCATTCCTTCATCTTACTCATTTTTAGAATATAAAAACATGAATAAAAATATCCACAAACAAATATTTTGACTGTTATGGGAATAAATTGGCAGGGGAAACAGTGGAATCTGCATAAAGTTTCAGAATAAAAATACTGACTATTGATATGGAATGTGTTTATAGCTGAAATTCAAATAAGTGTTTTCTAGAATCAGAAAAAGAGCTTGTGATTCTTTGAGTAATAATTTGCACAAATTAATGCATGAGGGGAAATGGATTAATTTTGATATCCATAAAGTATGGACATGTTTTTGCATTGTTTATGCTGTGCAAGAGAAGTCTTCTATAATGATTAATGTCAAATATAAGGAGAATTAATGAGCTGTTGGGAATCTATTCACTATTTTTATACGATAATGGTTCTCACATCATTTGGAATCAGGGCTCTTTTATACT